TGTGGAGAAAAAGGAAACTTCACACGCGGTTGGTGGGAATGTATTTTGGTGCAGCCACTGTGAAAAACAATGTGGAAATTTTTCAGAAAATTAAAAATAGAAATACCATATGATCCAGTAATTCCGCTACTGGGTATTTACCTCCCAACAACAAAAATTCTAATTCAAAAAGATACATGCACCTCTCTGTTTATTGCAGTATTTACAATAGCTAAGATATGGAAGCAGTCCAAGTGTCCATTGTCCATTGATAGATGAATGGATAAAGAAGATGTGGTATATACATACACACAATGGAATATTACTCAGCCATAAAAAAAGTATGAGATGAGCACTGGGTGTTATGCATAACTGATGAATCGTTGAATACTACATCAAAAACTAATGATGTACTATATAGTGGGTAATTGAACATAATAAAAAAAAGTATATTTTTCATTTGCAACAATAGGGATGAACCAGGAAGGTATTATGCTAATTGAAAGAAGTCAGATAGAGACAAATCCCATATGATTTCATTTATATCTGGGATCTATAAGACAAAACAAATGAATAAACAAAAAGCAGAAATAGACCCCAGAGAACAAACTGATGATTTCCAGAAGTGTGGGTGGATGGGGAAAATAGGTGAAGGGGAGTGAGAGACACAGGCTTCCAGTTATGGAATAAGTCACAGGGAGAAAAGGTACAGCATAGAGAATATAATCAATGGAAGTGTAATAGTGTTGTATGGTGACAAATGGTAGCTACACTTGGGGTGAGTAGAGCACAATGTATAAATTGCCAAGTCAGTATGTTGTACACCTCAAACTAGTGTAACATTGCATATCAACTATACTTCAATTTTTTAAAAAAGAATTGCTCTTTACAGAAATGATATTGTTTATGAGACATGATCCTCTTTCATTATTTGCTGAATTAACAACAAATACATGAACATTTTCTAGCCCATTTAATGCTCAGATTTTTATATGACATATATTTGGTATCTTCATTATTGACTGTCAGGAAAATTGCTTACTGGAATATTTAAAGAGATCAAACCTAATCCATTAGACAAGATGAGACATCTGGGCCGCATGGGTTCAAATTCAGGCTCTGCCCATGAAGGATTTTTGGGGGTGGGGAGGAGTCAAGGCAGTTTATTGGCCCCTGAGCAACCCTCTGCCCATTAATTTTTTTATTATGTTATGTTAATCACCGTACGTTACATCATTAGTTTTTGATGTAGTGTTCCATGATTCATTGTTTGCGTATAACACCCAGTGCTCCATGAAATACATGCCCTCTTTAATACCCATCAGCAGGCTAACCCATCCCCCCCCAAAACCCTCAGTTTGTTTCTCAGAGTCCATAGTCTCTCATGGTTCGTCTCCCCCTCCGATTCCCCCCCCCTTCATTTTTCCCTTCCTACTATCTTCTTCTTTTTGCCCATTAAGTTTTAAACAACCTTTCCATGCTCAGTTTTCTCATCTGTAAAATGGGGATGCTGATAACAGTACTCATAGGAGTTCATGTATGTTTGTAAGGATGCCTGGAAGAGACAATCACTAAATAATTTTAAAATTAATGTTTATGCCCACCTCAGTTGGGCTCCTGGTGGGTTTTAGGTGAAGGTGAATTTCAATAGAGACCATTAAAAAGCCTTTTCCTTAGGCATTGTCACCTGCACGTTGCCCCATGGGGCCTATCTGTTGCTCATAATCTTTTTCTGTTGTTGGCCTTAGGAACCCCATCACCTCCTCAGTGCCTTTTGCTCATCTCTATACTCTGTTACGAGTTAAAGTCCTATGGCGACTGCAGTTCCCATAAACAACCATATCAGGGAAGTTCTGGGTGGAATGAAGACAGGTAACAGGTGACCATAGCCAAGGTATGGTTACTGAGCACCGGCTATTTGCCTCCCAGTATGTCAGAAAAGACACTGACTCCTCTGTGGGCTTTCCATCTTCTGACTTGGAGGAGGGGGCAATGCAGGGACAGGGGAAGGCAAGTGAGAGTTGTGGCCAGCGGGCAGGCTGCTAAATGCCAGCATAGATCATCTGGGCTTCCTGGAACAGCTGGTCATGCACAGGTCAGTCCTCCAGATCCCCTGAGGCGATCCTAGCCACTGGTGATACTTAAAAGGCAGGATTTGAGGGGACTGGGACAGATTTTGGAGGCTCTCTGCTGTACAAGGCATTGGCCTTACAGGTGCTAGAACTGGATGAAGTCTATGCAGGCCAAAGATGGGCATTGGTAAGGAGGAGGCTTGGGCAGTAAGTCTTTTAATATTCTAACAACTTATTCAACTGAATAAGGGGTGTGTTGGCTGAAGATCAGCCCTGGGCTTAAGAACACATCATTTGGGGGCACCTGGGTGGCTCAGTCGTTAAGCGTCTGCCTTTGGCTCTGGTCATGATCCCAGGGTCCTGGGATTGAGCCCTGCATCGGGCTCCCTGCTCAGCGGGGAGTCTGCTTCTCCCTCTCCCACTCCCCCCTGCTTGTGTTCCCTCTCTCGCTGTCTCGCTGTCAAATAAATAAATAAAATCTTTTTTTTAAAAAAAAAGAACACATCATTTGCTTGACTAGGTTACAACATCTTTCCACTATGTCTTTTTTCTACTTCCAAAAGTTATAAGCAAGTACGTTATAAGTTCAGGCCTACTAAGAGGACAGCTTTTTGTCATTTCTCACTTGACAATGAGATTTTTTTTTTTTAAATCATATGTGGGGAAACAAGCAAACAAACTCCACTATATTTTTCTTTTTTCCTTTGCTTTAATGAAATATATAGGTGGGAAAAGAATCTTAAGTGTATTTATCACGGACGTGAAAATTACCAGTGGTTAATATTAAAGATTTTTCTTCTTTCTTAAGATAGGGCAGAAGTCTATTAAACATTGGTTCCTCAGGCTCCCAGTCTCCCTGAGGATCCTGATTTGACCTGTCCAACCAGACCCTTCTCTCCCCCACTTTAGGATTAGGAGTTTATTCTTTTGGGTTTTTGTTTCACAGAATGAGGAAAAACTTGGGAGGGAGGGAAAAATGAGTGGGTCTAAACCTGAGGTTACAAACCAAATCTGTAGGGTCCAGCACCTGCAGTCACGAGTGAAAGTGAGTTGTCTGAGAGTATTAACTGGCTTGGGTGGGGATTGCGTCCAAGTGCAGGGACCAAACTCATGTCATCATTCACAGACCAGCCCCGGCCAATTGATACCATGAATGCAGGCTCCTGGTTGCCAAATCGTTTAACTTTTGAAAGATCCAAATCTGAGAGAGTGTGTGTGAGTCTGTGAACTTTCTTGAGTTTGAAAACACTGTGCTGGCCAAACAAAGCACATCTGGAGGCCATAGTTCTATTACCTCAACCAGGCCTGAGGCAGGAGATTTTTAATGGAATTTAAGAAATGGGAACAGCTGTGGTATATTTGTGATAAAAGGCACGAAAGAAAAAAAAATAGGGCTTTTTGGAGTGTGCCTGTGACGCTTCTTCAACATACTCAAGAAAACCTAGTAAAGGACAGTGTTTTGAAACAATTTTGGGTTGCTGGACTGTGTACTTTTGACAAAGTTCTACAAGGGCCTTATCGTAAAAGAGGAGTATATTTTTTCCTCTACATAAGCTACATAGAGGGTTATTTTTATAATCCTACATTATATCTGAGTTACTTGTCTCTTCTCAAGTCAAGCAAAATCTTCTTTGCCTTGTTAATTAATAAAAAAGAAAATGAAGACTTTCTTGTGATTCATGCCACCAGACAAATAAATGTCTAAATCCCGTGTAGTTTTGAGACTTCCTTGAAGGGAAACATGGATACAAATTAAAAAAAAAAAACTATTAAAGAGAAAGTCTAATTATGTTGGCTATCTAGTACCAAATCCACATTATTAGCAAAGGAAAACGGAATGCAAGATGATGACTCCATTGGTAGAAGTAGGTTTCAGCCAAGTTAGAGTGGTAGGTCTGGCAAACCTCCAGCACAAAGACATTCCTTCCAACAGGCGCAAGTTTCTACCACTTGATACCTAGACTCTTTGACATCAGACTTCGTGATATTACCTCCTGTAGTCTTAGAAATGATTCTTACCTATTAGCAGGCTGCTGTGGATCTTTCTCCTTGGACTAGATGAGCTGAATGCTTCTAAGAATTTAATGCGCAGATGATTCTTCTAGGGGAATGCTGTAAGTCAGCCAGGGGTGGAGCATGGGAATTTGTATGTCTAACAAGGTCCCAGGTAAAGGCTGAACAGAACTTGAGTAGCAGGGAGCTAAAAGATTGAATAAAGATAGAGAATAGGGTGTGTGGACCTACAGGATGTCTGCTTTATGACCTGCACAGAATCAGTTCCTCTCTCTTCTGGCAGTAGCAGCCTGACTTGACTTAGGAGGGAATATTTACTTAGAAGGGAACATTTCCTCTTCACGATTAGTTTATGTAATTCAGAAGAGGCTCCTTCTCCCTTTACTTTCCTCCTACCCCACCCACCTGTGATAGAGAAAAGAATGTGACCCAACCATGGGTAATCAGCAGAAGTGAGCAGGTGACCCAAGGTTCAATGATTTTCAGACCCGAGATCTTGACTAGTGCTAGTGGGAAAGAGGCTTTCTTTGGTGGGTTGTGAAACCTGGAGCTCCCCAGTGACTATCATGAAAGAGCTGCTTGCCTTTAGAATAAAACTAACACAGAAGAAGCAGGGCTAAGATTTGGAAAAAGAAAGATTCTTAATATCTTTTAAATGCCTGGATCCATCCATGCCTGAGGTCTGCCTTGTTGGTTACTTGAGCCAATAAATTTGCCTTTATGATTAAGCCAATTTGATTTCAGTTTCTGTCACTTGCAACAGATAGCATCCTGCTAAATACAGTAGTAGATAAAGCCTGACACATGGTGGGGAGATAACTATAGCATTCTCATCATAATTTTTCCTTGGTTGGACTGAGCAATGTGTGTGTGTGTGTGTGTGTGTGTGTGTGTAATTTTTTTTTTCCCAGAGAAGAAACAATCTGAAACTATAAGTTAGGTGACAAGCAATTTTATTTTGCAAAACAATCACTATACAGCAACAAATACATTTGCAAATTTTGATTGAAAAACATGAACTAACTACAACCAGCCATTGAAGAAATGCCTTTCTATGATAACAGGCTCTAGAATTATCAGAAGAAAGAAACCCCCTAGAGATTTGTAGCGGCACGTTGGAACCTTGGAATCCCAGCATACAGAGTATACTTTTTGTTGATTTTTTTTCTTTTTGCTAAAGTTGAAGTAGATTTTCATGATTGACATTTTGTGAGTTTAAAAATAAGCTCTTTCCTGCAGAGGGACTTGGCCTCAACCTACACACTCAGGCTAAAAATCCTAGGTGTAAAAAAACAAACATCAGTGCTGATTTTAACACATCAGTTTTGGAAGGAATGCCTAGACTTTGCCTTTCCAAGCCACGAATCTATTTTTTTTCCTCTTGGCTACTTAGACCATGAATGGTTTATTTTCCTCATTTTTGTGGCATGAAAAATCGGACAAAAAGTGTAATTGTAGCAAGGTCGGAATCAACCGCTTTGAGATTATTTCTTTAACAATATTGACATGGATGTTATAATTTGGCTGATGATCCTATTTCCTGCTGTCTTACTGTATGAATGTGTGGAGGTCAGCTATCACCAGCAGATTCTTCCATTTAATGAGGTTCTCTCTTCAGCTTTCTTCAGCCATGCCGAGTTGGTGTTACACAGGTGTCTTGCTTGTGGGTGGGATTTCAGCCTATCACCCTGCTGGAACTCAGCAGGAGAATCCAGAGAGAGTTGGTTCCTAAATGAACAGGGCCTTTGAAACTCATCAACCACTCGGATCTTTCCTGCGTCATTATAAAGTACCCAATTATTGGTTGCAGGTGACCCAGAGAGAGTGAGTTCATTGAAGAAGCTGGCCTTTTAACTCTTCACAGCTCTGGATTACTTATGTATCCTTAAACAGGTTCTCAAAGGCTAAAGCCAGAGAGAAACTGGCAGTAATAGATCTAGAATTGGAACTATGAAGCTTTAATTTCTAGATCAGCGTATGGGTACCCCCACAAGAGTGGTGTTCAAAAAGCTTAATTTGCGTCGTTAATCTTGAGAGTGAAGGCAAGATAGGTTCCAACCCCTGTCCCCATAAGAAGACATTTAGCCTGTGTATTTCTCTCTTCTATTGGTACAAATTATCAGTTTCTTTTTGTTAACATTATAAAGAATCATATTTCCGTACAAAGGAAGGGCATTTATTCATTATAATTTTGCAGAGATTTGAAATAAACATTTGTTTTAATGCCAAATCTAGTATCTTAGGGCTTTATATAATCTGTATCTTGGGCATGTATTTGTAAGAAACAGAATTTTAATATGTAAAGCATAATTACTTATTCTTACCTTGTATAAAAAATGTAAACCAAGTTGGTAGAAAATACTTATTTTGTAGGTTAAAACTGTTCTAACCAGCTGTTAACTCCTTCTTTCTAGAGAGCTTTCATCACTACCTAACACTATCAAACATGTAGGAAAATACCATAGGTCTCCACACAACTACTCTTTCTTCTGCGATTTTCTAGTGCATTTCAAGGGAAGCTGATGAATAAAATGCTCAGATAGGTCAAATCCACATTATAGCAATTATTAGGCAGAAAATAGACACATCCATAGTCATACTCCCACAGTTTCTAATTTTTTGACTGTTGTGTAAAAGGATTGATTTATCAACACTTTCAGACATGTTTGCCTATGCAAAACCTATTAGTTGAGAATGAGTGCTATGTTTTTGCTCCTACAGTTTTTGTTTTTTGTTTTTTTGTGTTTTTTTTGGTGGAAGTCACATTGGTTGCAATATCCAGTGGGTCACAAAATGGCACCCGTGTCTCTGTCTTTGCATCCCTTGGCTGCTTTCCTAGATGCTACTCGTTTCCTAGATACTTCCTCGTTGCCTCATCCATGCTCATCACTTCCTCCTATATAGTCAGGAATTGATTCGACTCACGGGGATCAGACACCTATCAGACTATTTGCTTTTAATGGTTCAGAACCAACCTACCAGCCCCGAGCAAGAAAAAGAACAGATAAAATACTAAAAATACTCACCCAGACTGGTAACTGACTGCTTATTCAGGCCATTGACTATTTAATTGCTTTTCACAAGTCTAAGATGAATGATTTGTGAGAGGAATTAATTGGTGATTTCCCAGACTGTAGATTAAGTCACACCAGTATTACTAAGTCATAAAGTGTCCCTTCACAGAGGGCAATGTTGGAATCCTGGAAAAACTGATTTAGATATCTGTATCTCAAGTGTTGTGTGGCTATAACTTCTCAAATGAGTGTACTTGTCCTTTTTGATCAGGGTCTTTACTGTGGGTAAGGAAGCCAAATATTTTCTCTCAGATAATTCAATTAGCAGGCAATGTCTGGAAGAGCGGGGCAACATGTCCCAAACTCCCTCTGTTAGTTTCAACTTTAGCAAAGGGAAAAAAAAAAAAAGGAATCTTAAGAAGTCTGTTTCTTGAATGATTACAGGAATAAAACCCAAACTATTCCATAATTCAAAATGAGATGAATCCAAAATCTTAAACCAACAATCTGTAAACCCTTTTAATGTATAACTGGACCCACCCCCACAAACTCCATGTTGGTGAAAGCAAAGAAAAATAAATTTTCCTAGCATCACGGGAGAGACTTGTATCTGGCACTAAAACAGGGTTACAGCTCTGAGTTGTTACAGGAAGCAACTTCATGCTAAAACTTTTTGTTCTTTTTTAATGTATTTTTTTTAAATAGGGAAAGAACCCTGCTAACATCTACTTTCACATACCTAAAATTGCAACACCAAAGGGTGCAGGAGACACAGATACTGTGAATAAGGAAGTATAATATTCAAGTATATGAGGAAGTATCACAAATGGCCACAGAGAAATATATATATATTTATATCTATAATACTGTATCAAACAGATGGAAAGGGAGTGTGAAACTGGTAGTGTGGACACAAATCTAGCTGATCAACTGACATTCTAATCAGACGAGTCCATCCTAATGAAAGTGCTTCATTCCTAAGAGATGCACTTTTATATCGCTTCCTCAACCACAGCTCAAATGCTTCGTAACTATTTTTAATTAGTTAAATAATTTATTGGATTGACTTATACTCTGATATAATTATCCAGGTCCCAAATGTTAATAACTTAACTGAATCTTTCTTCCCATTTATACAAAATAACACTTTAAAAAAAAAACCTTATTTCTTACATGCTCTTTCCTTCCTGCAATCAGACTCCTTGATTTAATTTAACCTGTAATAAGTTAAAATGGGCAGCTTTTATCTTTTCACCCAGCAACAGAAGAGTGGAATGAGCAGCTTGGATTTCAACAAGGCCTTTCAGAATGTATGGATAGCCTTCAGGCACATGAAAGGTAAAAATGCAATTTTTAAAATAATAATACTCCATGCAAAACAGAGCAGAGCAAAAATAATTGTCCAATTGTACTCATGTAAAGCCAGTGTCTTCCTGTTGCAAATGGAAATCAAGTCAATTTCTGCATATACTATTCATTGTTTTTTATAAAATTGTAACAATAACTACAGTTTGGGAATGAGATTATTTATTTTATGGTTTGTAAAGAATGAATGTAACACCTGCTCAGAGCCCACTCCTGCCAAGAGCTCATGCCTAAATATTATTACTTCAATGCTAAATGAGAAATATTCACAAGCCCTGCTTAGCGAGTGCCGCAGTGACATCCTCGGCCAAAGTGGCAAGCTGAGGGGATTCGAGCAGGTTGATGCTTCCAGAAGAGGAGACATTGCTGAGTCGTCGGGGGGACGCCACGCTGGATCTGCCTGGGGATTGCGTAATGATCTCAGCTCCGTGGTCCACACGGGCCTTTGCATGCTCTCTGAAGTTCAACTTCTGGCTGTCGATCTGTTCAAGACAAACATCAGTCCTTGTTAACTCAAGCATCTTAACTGGCCCCTAGACCTTTCACTATTGTCTCAGAGCTGATGTTAATGTCACTTTTGTTCAGCTCTGCCATTCCTACTTCCTACATGTCCAGGCCTTTGATCGTGACTCATTTTGATGAGGAGTATTTCAGAAGGATTAAAAAGCAGAAGACAGGATCAGCTTACAACCTTGATTCTTACCTTAACGTTACCACCTCCAGGTACGTGGTGAGCATTGTCAAGTGAGCCGACTTTAGCTTGGGCCTTTTCTTTGAAATCCAGTTTTACACTCTCAATTTTCACACGCCCACCGCCTGTGAGAGAAGAAAGGCTTTTAAATGCCTTGCTACAGTGATATTTTCTACTTGGGGTGACTATTTCCCAAAAATGATTATATCAGATAGGTCATCATAAAGCACAGACTTAATTTACTCTCCTTTTAACCATGGATGTGAAAGGAATTTTTTAGAATTTCTAGTCTGTATCATTTTTCCCATATCACCCAAGGTAATGACATCCTTTTTGTACCATTATATGGCTTGACCTATGTATTAATATCTTTTTCTTCTAAGCCAAACTGAAGCCTGATTACCAGATAAGTTTCCAATGCACTTATCTATTTTGAAACTGATCGTATCTACCTTTGCTTTTCGGCTAATAAATTCTTCTTCATAATCTACCCATGTCTAACATAAAATATCAGAGGGGCTTTTCTTATCTGTATAATAAAAATTCTAAAAAGAACACAGTGAAAATATCCTATTTCATCCTTTCTAAAACTTGGAACATTCAATCTTTTACTCTTAAGGGAGCAAATTAACTTGAAATGAAGATCCTTATTCTTCTTCATGGTAATAGGTCATTTTTCCAAAAAAACAAAAAACAAAACCCCCCAAAAACAACAACAAAAACCCCCTAGAAACTATTAGGTTAGAAATGGTACACATATGGGTAATATATTCATTTGTAAATTTTCAACATTGATGGCTTGACTGATGAAATTGGAGTTGGAAGCTAAGTTGTTTATAACCAGTGAGCTTTGAGAATTTACCATTATCATTAGCAAATGGAGTGACAGGAAGAGAACCTTAGGAAATCCTACTCTTGTACAGTTGGCATAGGACCAATCTGACACTGACTTTGATCTGATAATGTGGTGACAGTTTTGACCATGGCATCTTTCTGAATGCTAATTAGTCTGAAATATGAGGATCTGCTGGTAGATGAGAGTGCAGAGTGGTGCCCCTATCTCTGTATGCCTTTTCCAGCTTGTAAATGCAGGGAGTTCAATTCCGGTAGGTACCCATTGTTCGTTAGCCTGTCCTTGAGCAACTTTGAGGGTCTGCTGATGTCTTTGACTTGAAAAGAAGCTGAATTAGACCCCTTTACCTCAGCACCTGAGATTTGCTTTCACTTTGATTAGCAATTTGGTTTTGGTTGTGTGCATTTCTTTGGAAGGCCAGTGGTAAATGACATGACTATCTATGATTATTACTGCTTCTGTTGTAGGATTTTGACTTGGGAGAAACATGGGGAAGATTTTTTAATTTTGGACTCTTGATGTTTATTTATCTCCATAGCCCAAAAGAAAGGTCTGTTAAGTCTTCACAGACTTAGACCTTATGGTATTTTTCTCATATGATACCTAGACATTTATACTGATACCCAACTACCTGGCTAGGGGCCCCTTGAAATTATATGGTGTTATTAGATTACATTTTGAAGATATATCCATTCATTCTCCTGAAGTTTTAGGATGTGCACACTGTTATTTAACTTGTGTTTATAGGAGACATGTACTTGTCCCTCCCTCAAAATATGCATTATTGCAGGAAGTGTTATTCTTCCAACATTTCACCTAGCCATATGGGTCTCTCGTGTTAGTTGTGATGGGATTAAGGTGATTCATAAAACATACTTATCTTGGTTAGAGGCTGGAGGATGTTGAGTTTCAACCTGATGAGATCAATTTTCTTGGGGTCTTTTCCATTTTTTTGGTAGCCTCTAGTAGAAATGACCTTTGCAAGCTTTCTTTTATGATTATATGTTGGACAGAGTTATAAACCTGTTAAAATTTTTACTGAACTCTATTTTGAGGGAGAGAAAAAAATGTAATATTGACCCAAAATATATTCAGAAAAGGAAGCTTGAGAAGTCTGTTTTTGTTGAAATCCTACTAGAAATTTTTATGTAACTGTTAGAGAAACCCATTTGAATTCCCAGATCTATGCCTTTGGCTCTGAAGAATTCTGGCATCTACCAGCAGTAATTGTGAAGGACTATAAACTTTATCAAGCTCCATATGCCCTAAAGTTGGGCTTCCATGTGTTGAACTGTTTCCTTTATTTTCTCCTTAGATATTCCACATTCCAAAGTAACTTTGTGAAAAGCTCGCCATTGTCAAAGATCGTTGTGTTAACACTTCTTTATGAATTCAGTTATCTGATTCAGTTCTTATAAAAGAGAGATCTAGATTTAGAAATAGGTGGGAGTCCATGACAATAGTCTTTTATGACCAATAAATCTTACATAGACTACTTCCTTAACTATGTCACATGTTCCTGTACATCAAGAGTCCAGTTGAATTTGGCTAATGGAATACTTACTGTCTCAATTAAAGAATCTAATATTTTCTTTTGCATTTTGGAAGAAAATAGGCAGTATGGCCAAATACCTCATTCCTACTGTTGACACAGCAGAGTCAACCAAGTATTTGTAAGCTTGAGTTATAGATCGTAGAATTGTGAAGATATGCAGTATGAGACCATGTCCCTGCCACCTCAGGAATGACAGAGAAGCTAATTCCAAGGAAGTGGTTCTGAATTTCGTACTGGAGATTGTTGGGGAACATCTACAAAAAGACGTGACACTGATTGACCTGAAAGCTGGACCTGGGAACTCGGAGGCTTCTCATTCCCTCCCCTGCTTGCCTTTCCTGCTCCCAGAGGCTGCTCCAAGGACAGAGCCTTGAGATAATGAGGTGATGTTGAGAACACCAACACTGCATGCATGACTAAACCCAGTTAAGGCTTCTTTATAAACTTTTAAGATTTGGTGGGCGGGTGTGAGGATCCATCTTGCTGCTACCCAAGAGAAGCCTCATATGTACGTTCCCTTTACTTATTAAAACTGCCACCTACTAACCTGGAGTGGCCTACCTCTTTCTTCAGTTTCTCCCTGTCTTCTGAGTACAGGTGCCAGTCTCAGAGTACACCAGGGAAGCTCCCAAGAGGGTTGTGAACCAGTAGAGATTCTGTATATGTATTACCTAACTCCTTGACTTGCTTTATGAACACCCTTTGTCAAAGTGAAGCCTGACTTCTAGACATGTTTCCAGTGCATTTATCCATTTTGAAACTTATCCTATCTACCTTTATTTTTCAACAAATAAATTCTTCTTAATAATCTTTTCTTGGTCAGAAATCTTTCTGGGCTTGATTGTTCTTATACTTTGTTTCTGATAACATTTGAGACAGTGATTAATGGGAATAACCTATTACATGGTTTAATTAAGATATCAAGCACACCAAAGGCTTCCTCTTGTCCATCTATAATTCAATGGTATATATTGTGTCAAAATATTCTCAAGAAAATGACAAATTTGACAGTTGTCCATTATTTACATATGCATGGAGGTAGAAGTTAGCAAAAATATATAATAATGATACTCAGAAAAAATGACTTATGTTAGATTTACACTTTAAAGAGGAAAAAATCCCCAACAAGTATGAATGTAAATTGTAGTTTAGATCATTAGTCCTATAGAAAAACAAGAGGCCAATGGTTAAATAAGTTGGGACAAGCACTGCGTCAAGCGATGGGTCAATTAAGCACTGCATTCTGCTGAGGATTCATAATGCTTACTGACCTACTGTAGGATCTGAGAAATTTAGCAGATAAATACTTTCATCAGCTTTGCTTAAACACAATCCTTCTTTCACATATGAAGACAAAATACTTCCATGAAAAATCTTTGGAAGTGCTGCTTTCGATCCATGTAATTATGTACGAATACATGGCCCAAGGTATTTTATAGACCATCTATTTCAAAAGAGCTCCAATAAGCATGTTGAGTACATAGAGATAAGTGCATCTTATATGCCTTTTAATTTTGAACGTGTCCTATGATATGTACCTCCTTGTGATAATTGAGTTTATTGCCCAAATGAAGATGCCTTAAAGTTTCTAACTTAAGTTTCTATTAATAAAAGCACGAGTTTTCAGGATTTTGAGACATTTTTCCAATTAGGTATTTCACAACAAAAATTCTGCTTGTTGATTTCTTAAGCAATTTAATATTTCCCAAACTACCAAGAAGCACTTATTTACCTGGCCTGTGGCGGATGTTCTTCAGAGAGCCACATTTGGATGTCACATGGCTTAGGTCTATCTTCTTGGTAACAATCTGTACCTGTATGAACCATATAAAATACACTTAAAATGGTTGAGACATGGGCAAGCCCCCAAGCTCATACATAAAATCCAGAAACATACCCAAACGCACAACATACGACAACACAGAAACCCAAACTCAAGTGCATACACACACATAGAAAAACATAACCTCCCAGTGTACTCCCACATTTGGTTGGAAAGAAGGACCAAAATGAAAGAAAATCCTAGAATAGAAGATTTTGTTAGTAGAAAACAGATCATGCCACAAGAGGATAGAAACACCTGGATTAATAAGGCAAGCTTCCACTCAGAGAACAAAGCCACACCATGTTAAACCTTTCCATAAGCAAAGAGCCAAGTGAAGAGATGAATTATTTTCTTAAAAATGATTTTTCCATAAAAGTGACCAACATTGCTCATAGTTACAAGAAGACCAACATTGCTTTAAGATATAAGAAAAAGAAAGATCAAAGCTTTTCTAAAATATTATTGTCATGTCTTGGCTAAATGGAATTTTTCTTATCCACCAAATTATAAAATGGTAGTAACATTTTTTTCTTGTGTTTTATTGAAGTTATCTCCTCTCCCCGTGTTAGAAACAGTGTTTTTCCAATTGTGGTGCACTGTCCATTGGCATCAGAAGTACAAGGGTATTACTGAATTGGAAATGGGGTCACAGAATCTGCATATTTGAACAAGTGATTCTTTTCTAGAGGAAAGTTTAAGACTATTGTTTTGGAGGTTGGAAGCTCCCCTATTTACTTTAAGATTGTTAGTTATCTCAATTTGTGCTTTGCCACCTAGCCTTGTAGGCCAGCAGGGCCTGCAGGAGAGGATAGGGGTTACCCTTTGACACCCTCCAGGTATTTCCCAGGACTAAGACTGCTTTTGTGAGAGTACCACACGGTTTGCACTTACAGTCAGGACACAGGGAGGAGCACCACCACGTCAATGTAAATACTGATCCTGAGGCTTAGCTCAGCACTCTTAAGGAGCCTAGCAAACCTTGCTATGGACTTCCTACAATAGTGACATTTTCATGCTCAGTGGAACTACTTCGAGCAACAGGGGACAGTTCCTGGTAGATGGCACTGGCTTGTCTCCCCTTTCACTGCTTGACTCCTCCAGCTGAGGAGCCAGGAGGCAAGAGTTATTAACAGGCGAGAATTCTGGACTTGACACTCTAAACTGAGTCACAGATGGCCAGAATCTGAGGTTTAGGTGACAAGGATCCATAGAATAGAGAATCAGCCTGGGTCACCTTTATTATTCTTATTTTGTGAAGAATCATGCTTCCTTTACCTTGAGTTTCACTGTTTCAGCTCTGCCTTAACTCTGAGAAACATGCATTCATCTTTCCCTTCCTCTCAAAGGATATTATTTCTGCCCAATTCAAGACACAGAAAAAAAAATCCCATCAAGACAAAGTTTATACTGGGACTTGAATCCTTTCACTTTGAATGACAGATGAATTGTGCTTCACTAGTTTTGCATTATTCCAAATGATACCCTAACTCTCATGAATAGTGATGCACAAAAGATTGACATTACACACTTTGGGTACTTTCAAGTATATCAGTCTTTTCAAGAGTAATTGAAATGGAGCCATAAAAGTGTATGCCCAGCTGATGTTTGCAGGGGAGTAGAGACAGCATGAGGAGATACCTTGAAGCCAAAGGCCAGCAAACAAAATTGGCAAGTGAGGTGAGGTGGGTTTGCCATCCCCCTGAAAGACAGGATGCAGCCCAGTAAGGTTTTATTCCTCAACTGAAAGCAAGAAATTTGCTGATAAATCTTTCAGGGAAGGATGGGAAGCCCACCAGCAAAAATGCAAGGGTGACAAGCTCCCAGACCAGGGGACATGTGGAGCAGCAACAAGTAGTGGGGTGTGTATTGGGAGAGACGCAGGAAAAGAGACAGGGGGCTGGCTGTGCAGATGGCTCCACACAATCAGGCTAGCTTTCTAATAGAAGCTTCTACTTACATTTCCGCCCCCAGCAGAATGTTTGATGTTATCCTTGGAACCACATCGGGACTGAACCTTGCTAAAATCGATCTTCTTGTTTAAAATCCTAACCTAAAAGGAATTGGAGGTAACTTCACTGTGCATTTTTCTTTCAGTATGCTGGGCATAGGGAGCCAATATGCGTTAGTGCCAAGGAGGCTCAAAAATTCCTTCCACCTATATAATCATTTAAGAGAAAAAAACTAACACTGGAATTGAAGAATAGATCTATCATTTAATATGAGCCCTAGTCCCCTGAACCCCCAAGGGCCAAATGCTCAAGAACTTTAGATATCTAAGTTATAGGCAGTTGTGACCTGGAAACAATTAGAAGGAAAGAAAAATAAAAGTTGGATTATCTGTGACTGGGAAGCTTCCAATATTGTGGGCAACACTGGGACTCAGTTTCCACTCTATAAAAGGTCCAATAGTGTAGTTCAGTATAGTTCTTGCCCTACTCCCGTTCAATCCTACAGTGTCAGCCATCGCAATTATAAATCACCTGGTACACTTGATTGTATTATTGGTCCACCTGGCACAGGTGAGGTTCATGACTGGATGGGCTGAATGCCACAGATGAGGGTTCTCATTTGTCCAGCAGAATGCTTGCTTTCCCAAGAGGGTCAACAAGGGGGCTCAGGGACTCCTCTGCTGAAAGGGCTTTACTATTGCCTTGCAGATTTGGCTCAGTGGTCTTCTGAAAGTCTTCTTGCTGACAGCTGCTCATAAATAGCCATAACCCTTGGATGGTTGGTGCAAAAGCATTCTTTCCATTATTTTAGAGGGGAGCAAATCAAGGGCCACTAGTTAACTGACTTACAGTAGGTCATGTAGAAGTAGTCCAGGCCTTGGCTAGGTCCAAAAGATATGAGGTTAGGTGTTTTATTTCTATTTTCAGAAAGTTCAGTATTCATCTTTAAGACAACAGCAAATCTAAATCTGGACAGATATTATTCTGGTGTAATGTAATGTGCAAAGTAATAGCTCTGGTGACAATTTCTATGTATCTTAAAATTTGCATGTTTTGGAGAGCACATGAGCATGGAAAGAAAGGTTTATTTTTGTGTTTGTTTGTTTGATTTTACTTTGGCCACTTCTACTCCTCTCCCCATGTGCCCTTAATAGCTAAAGAGAAATTATGTTTTCAATGCTTTAGGGGAAAGTTTGTCCTCTTATTTTTTTTAAGATTTTATTTATTTATTTGACAGAGAGAGACACAGCAAGTGAGAGAACACAAGCAGGGGGAGTGGGAGAGGGAGAAGCAGGCCTCCCGCTGAGCAGGGAGCCCGATGCGGGGCTCGATCCCAGGACCCTGGGATCATGACCTGAGCTGAAGGCAGACGCTTAAAGACTGAGCCACCCAGGCGCCCCAAGTTTGTCCTCTTATAAAAAATGCTAAATAAATACATCCTAGATATACAGCCATCTCCAAGAGTGGTATCACATCTCTTGGTGTTTGCAAAAAAGAGTAAAAATTTCAAGATGACATTGCATCCTGACTATTTTTAACCAGACAAAGCTTAAATCACAGTGCCTGTCTGACACTGATGAGAGAGCTTTTCCCTTACAGGGAAATATCATTGACAGCTCTCATTGGCAGCCCAAGGGAAGGGCTTCTTGTCAAAATCTAAAGTCAGAAAACATGATGATTGGGTCACTCTTTAGGGCATGATAAAAATCCCAATTTAAAAAGAAGGGGGGGAATATCACAGAGTGTGTATCTAACAATAAATGTAGTGGCGCGCTAAGAATTTCACATAAAATGTAGATGCCAATAACTTTAAGTCAACAAGGGCCATTACATTTCAATCCTCATAGATAAATTATTTTTAGAAAGCTAATAATTTTATTATTTCAAATAATAATACTTTTAATTATCTTCCGTGAGTCTCTATTTTGGCAATGAAATAGAATTCATCTAAGCCATTTTTCCTAATCCTTGGGGACATATAGGGTCTCATATTTCATTTGCAAATTTTAATTTAGAGATCATTAGAGTACAAATCAAGTGACTCATTACCCAGTGATCAAAGGCTCAATGTTAAATCTGATTCACTCGTTGCCAAAATGGAAATTCCAAATTCAATTGCATGAATTTGTTTGACTCTAACATTTAATCAACTGGCAATTTTTATGATTTCTAAAACAAATGATTCAAACCTCAAGGGGGCACATTGCCAGCATTACTTAGAGACAATTTAAATTTTAAAATCCTAAAACTTAGAGGCTGCCTTTTGTTCATTTTCCCCAGATTTTCTAAAGAATCATAGATTTTCTAGAGAAACAATTAGCTGGCCTTTTTCAATGGGAGACTTTCAATGTCTGTTCAATTCATAACGTGAAGCAGACCTTCGATAGGGATTAATGGCATATTCTTTACATATTTCCATATTTGCAATAGCTTCAGAGTATATTGCTTTTTTTTCAAATAAGGTAGAGGATGACATTCACCATTTTGCTTGATGGCCAAATAGACAGTAATGGAAATCACTTTGGGCACTGGATGCTTGATGCTCAGTAAGATTTATGCTCTAGCTTGACAACTTGCACCTAAACACCCACCTAGTCCGTGTGATGCACACTTATGCTTTAACAAAATTACAAAATACTTCATGCCAAAGATCTCTGGGATCATTTACCAATAGTTAACACTTTAGAGAGTTAATTTTACAAATACCAGCAGTCCTCAGAAACCATTGCATAAGATAGAAAAATAGATGGCTGCTGTGAAGGATAAAACTTTATTCCAGATTATTATTCTTATTATTATTATATTAAGTCAGAGAGTCAAGTTTTAACTTGACTTTTTGGGGGAAGGAATTTCCATTGAGCTTTTGTTTTCCTATATGTCAAGGGAAAATTATTTTAACATCTCAGAGATGGTCTAGAAAAAAAAATATAACAAACCTTTATTTGGTGAACTAATTTTCTATATTCATAATATGGAGGAAAAAATATTTGAATAATCATTATCCAAGGTTAACTCTAGACTACATTCTATCCTTGTCAAT